GTTTCATTTTAGTTTCATTCCTACAAGCAGTTCTGAACGGTTCTGAATCGAACAGAGTTTGCGCATTTATATTTAAGGACCGTCTGAACATAAATGTGCAATTAAAAGTATCCGATACCACTATCGCCGTGTGAAAGCGCGCTTACTATTGTCCACACAACTGTTTGCGCATGTTTGCTTATGATTTCGTCATTCAGTATAGTGATAGTCTAATACACCCAAAGAAAAACCTCAATCAAAATTGAAAGAGAAATTTTATCAAGGGTTTATGATAATGTTTTATTAATACGAACAAAATAACTATTCTTATAAATAATTATTGTTCAAGACAAGAAAAAAAAATATCATATTGATAAATATATCATTGATTCAATAGTAATGATATATTTATCAAATTGAACAATGAATTTATTATATAGATCGAGGTTTTTCTCTGGGTGTAATGCTTCCTCCGGTACATCCTCGCAAACTCACGTGTGTCAAAAGAAGTTGATACATTTTAATTTTTTTTTATTTTATTTGACAATAGTTATTATTATCAATAGCAACTTCACATCGGTAAGTACAAGAAATACTTTTTCTTATAAATCATCAATAATCAAATTCTTTTTATTAAAGTTTCCACCATTTTTTAAAATGGATAAATGGTTAATCAAGAAAACCAGAAATTTAAATGATAATGATCAACCAAGTATAAGCAAATCTGAACATTATGACGTGGAGTTACTTTGCCTGAAGCTCCTAAAGCAGAAATACAGCGCCGAAGTAACAAGCGTAAAGCTAATTGGACTCGCAAATATTTACGCTTTGGGTTCATTGCCGGCAGCAGTCAAAATAATTTACCGCTATGTATTATCTGCAATGAGCAACTTTCAAATGAAAGTATGAAACCGTCAAAATTAAAACGACATTTAAACACACTTCATTCTGAGTATTCTGATAAGCCAATTAACTTTTTTACTGGTAAGAAAAATGAATTGATGCTGCTTAAAAAAAAATTGAAAAATGCACTCTTTTCTCACCAGTAAATGAAAACCTCACTTTGACATCTTTTGAAATTTCCAAATTAATAGCTGAGACTGGGTATCCTAATAAGGCTGGAGAAAAATTAATACTTCCCGCTTTAAAAATTGTCGTAAATAATTTATGCGGAATAAAGGAAAAAAGTTTGTTTTCAGCGATCCCATTATCAAATAATACAGTTAAACGGAGAATTGGTGATTGCGCGAAACATTTAGAAGAAGAACTAGTTGCTAAAGTAAAAAAAAGTAAATTTTTTTCCTCGCAAATATATGAAAGCACAGATATTGAGGATAATGCAAATCTAATGTATTTTATCAGATATATTGACGAAGACACCATACAAGACAATTTTTTGTTTTGTAAAAGGCGCCGACAAGAACGATCTCAGATGAGATTTTTAAAGCGATAAATGATTTGGTCACTAGTCACGGTAATGATTGAATGAAGTGTGTTGGTCTAAGTAGCAACGGAGCACGTGAAATGGCAGGTTGTCATAAAGGTTTGTTTAAACAAATTCAAGAATTAGCAGTTAATTATGTATGGGTGCACTGTAGTATCCATAAATAAGCTTTGGTGATAAAACGCTTGCCTTTAAATTCAAACATGACTTTGAAAGAATGTGTTAAAGTTTGTAAACTACATAAAATCTCGTCCATTAAATAGTAGACTTTTTATCGAATTATGCGAGGAAATGGGGAGTGATTATAAACACCTCTTTTTATATTGTAATTCACGATGACTTTCAAAAGGAAACGTTTTAAAACGTCTGTTTGAGCTAAATGGTGAAGTCTTGGTATTTCTGAATGAACATCCACCATCTAAAAAAGATGCTATTTTTCCATTTAAAGATAGATTCCACGATTTCGAATGGTTAATAATAGTAGCTTATTTTTACGACATATTTGCTACATTCAATAAATTGAATTTAAATTTGCAAGGCTTTGGTTTAAATATTTTCAAAGTATCGAAAAAAGTCACTGCAATAATTAAAAAATAATTCTGTGGAAACAACGACTTTCAAAAGAAAATTTTTAATCTTTTAAAACATTACATAAATTTATTGAAAACCATTTAAACTGCGATGAAGAAGTTTTACCACTTGAAACGCTATCAGTTTCAATTCAGGAAAATCTTTCGATGCTAATAAATAGTTTTAAAGACTACTTTCCGGATATTACCTCAAATAATATGTGAATTAAAGATCCTTTTTCTGTCAAAATTGAAAAGAAAGAAATGCTTTATCTTAGTGAACAAGAAGTTGATAATTTAATTGAAATTTCATGCGACACCGATCTTAAAAAAGTGTTTGAAACTGCACCACTAATTAATTTTTGGTTGCGCTGTCAAAAGGGGTATCCAAGAATAAGCGAAAAAGCTATACAATTCTTAATGCCTTTTTTCTCCACTTATACGTGTGAAGCTGCGTTCTCAACCTTGGTGTACTTAAAAAATAAGTATTGGAACAGATTGGATGTCGAACCGAATTTGAGAACAAATTTAACATCATTTCATCCTAATTTGAAATTATTATGTGATGACAAACAACATCATCATTCGCACTAAGGCCAAAATGTGTAAAATAAAGTTTAGTTAATTTACTTAAGTTTTACATGAATATAATGGATATTTTTTTAATTTGTTTTTGTTTTATAATTATTTTGCAATTTTTGTGTATGAAAGAAACATACAAATAACATGATTTTTATTAAAAATTAAAATTTGTTTTGTAAATAAATGTTTTTTTTTCATAAGGTGAGTCGCGAAAATTTTAACACAAAAATAGTATACGGTAGCCATTTACTATTTACACTATTTACATAGTTTAAGACAAACTAAAGTTTGAAATTTTTTTTTCCATAATAAAGTATATTATATTAGCTTTAATTTAAGGTATATAAAAGTGTCAGTATTTCCGGAACACTTTCAAAAGTTTTTGTGAAAAGTTGATATTTTTAATTCTCCCTGTGGGCAGGTAAAGGGTCAGATTTACAAAAAACATTTACTAAATGATAGGTTAGTTCTATTATTATATATCTATAAAAAAAAAAATTGTAGTGATCCATACATTTTTTAAAAAGTTTTATGTAAAAATAATGAAAAAATGTTAAAAATTATGAATTTTTAAATTTGTAATTTAAACAAAAATTGTTTTGATTCGTTCATTTTTAAAAAAGTTTTGGCAATTTTTAGAACAAAAAGTAAAAAAAAATGTCCTAATGTATTTATAATAAAAATGTTGTGCAGTTTTAAGTAACAAAAATATCAAAAATTATCTTCTTAGTCTTCAACTAGATACAACATGTGATCTTTTGACTTATCGTTGAGAAAAATCGGTCCAGTGAGAGCTGAGAAAAAGTAGTGAGAAATACAAAAAATTTAATAAATAAAAAGTAAACACAATGATTTTAACTTATCATCGAAGCTAAAACCAAAAAAAAATTTTTTTTTAATATTGTAATTATATTGCCAATAATTGAGTAGTTTATCATTAACAAATCACTGTGTATTTTTCACATTTTTATATACTACAACTATTAATGTAAATTTATTATCAATTATAAAGTGTTCAATAAACCACAGAATACCAACATTGTTAATAAAATATACGCTAATTATTTATAAATTTTCTTACAAAACAATTTTAAACTGAAAATACCCGAAAAATGTGATAACTGTAGAATTTAAGTACTAAATAGAGTTGTAAAGGTCAACCTTATTAATGTTTCTAGTAATCAAAATAATCACAATGAAATAAGAAATTATAAGTAATACGCACATTACTATTTAATTATTATACAAATACAATAATAAATATTTTAATATATTATTTTATAAAAAAAATATGTTATTTATAAAATAATACAGACACAATATAAATACATTAGTATCTTAGTCAATTTTAATAAAAAAATTAATAAATAAGACTTTAAAGCTCTTAAAAAATACTATATAACGGTATTTCTATATTGTTTCCAAGTTTCACTGTTGCTTAGGAATAATTTGGAAAAATAAAATAAAAATAAATAACTTTTTATTTATTGATTTTTAAAGTTTTTTACGAACAAGGACGTGAAAATGTTTATATTTTTTTAAGATATGAAGTACATTTAAAGAGCTATCATATAAAACTAATTTGGAAAAAAATGATGCATTTTTGACTTTTCTACACAACTTTGATAAATGGATAAATATAAATTTGATCTGCCAACTCTATGTAAGCGGTAATGTAGATTGAATGGCGATTTTGTCAAATCAATGAAAAGGAAATTATATAGTGTTGAAAGCATAGGCGGAAATTTGCCAAAAATTTAGAGTGGACTAGAATTACTCATCGGAGCTACACGCAAATATATTCTACCTTTCATGGTGCATATCCGAATAAGATATTATTAAAACACGGGGCTAGTGGTGTTAAATTATGTAGACGTTGATAATAAATTCAAAACAAGCATAGACTACACTACAAATACACTAGTAATAATAATTTTAAGTTAAAATATAAGTTTTTAACAGACGTCAATATACATTATCTGATTCTCGATTGACTAGTTCGTGCAGTGCACGTGTCAGTGGCAAACAATAAGATACTTTGGTGGCAACATGAAAAAATAAACATATCATGGTAAAGTTAATAATTTTAGCTTCGCATCGAAGCTAAAATGAAACAATAAGACGCTGCTGGCGTCTATTATTAATTGACAACCGCAATTTAATACAAATGTGGCAAAATACAAATTTTATGTGTTGTCTTATCGTAGTGACTAGGTTATCGCAATATTTAATCAATATAACATTTTATATCACTTATAATTTTAATATTAATTTCAAAAATGTTTTAAATAATGTCCAATTATTAAACAGTACCTATATTATATTTTATGCATAAAAATTATAAGAGGGGTAAGTTCCCTCAATTTCGACCTATTCTTAGAAGAGAAATAAATTTTGACGTGGTAAAATCAAAAAATACATAACACTTTATGGCTATATTGCTATAATTTAAAAATTATTTATCACTAATACAGTAAATTCTACAATAGTCAAAGTTATATTAAAATTATTCATAGACAATAATAATGATAATTGAAAAATCATACAAATATTGACATTTTCCTATAAATCTATACAAATTATAATAAATTGATGTGAAAGTTAAAAAACTCAGCAATTCTATAAAGTTATCGGTCCATCGAGTTGAGGTTTATCAACAAACTTGACAGACAAATCAGCCGGAGCACCTTCTAGTTCCATCATAATGAGCGTGTTTACTGCTGGAGGTTGTAAAAAGAAAACTCCGGGTACATAAAGAGTAACTTGAGGACCTCCTAACGGCCAATATCGACCCAGATTTATTCCATTTAGAAACGCTACGCCCTTAAGTAAAATTGTTTTAAAACAAGCAACACATTTCTTTTAAATAAAATCTAATTCTTACTTTTGTCCAACCAGATGGATCTAAATACGTGTCCGACAATTTAAAGTATCTATAGATATCTGGTAAGACGAATTCACTTCTAAAGTAAGCCGGTAACTGAACTTTTTTAACAGGTTTCAATGACGATATCCAGGAAGTCTCATTTAAGGGATGAGCCGTCATCTTCCAAGGACCTAATGTTTTATTACCTAACTTGACTTGATGAAGAATACCCTACCAGAAGAAAATTTAAAAAAAATCGTTAATTATTATATTCAAATGTACATAAATAATAATAAATTCTTTTTATTTTTTCGTTAGATTTCATTGCACAGACCTTTCTATCCTCAAGGAAGCTGCCATAATTAACTCTGCCTTGATTTTCAACTAAAATGCTTAGTTTCTCATCAGATAAACTAATATTTAAACTCATTGTCGTATTTCCTTTTGCTCGACACATAGTACCAATTTTAACCTATTACGTAGAATGTTATTATAACAATTAGAATTTGTATCAAATAATTACACGTAGAATTTACTGTAGGTGAAAGGTCAGATTATTACCAATAATAAAGCTGGTGACTCCCATTACTATACTAATAGCACACCTTTCAAATAGTATCACATAAAAATAAGTATCAAATTAAATTAATTTTAGAAAAATTCTTATTAACTTTGATAAGTGGTCATTTTTTTAAATTATTTATTATTATTATTTATTTATGGATGTTTAATGATCTCTCTAAAAGCCGTTGCTTGTACCAGAGAGATGGGGAACAGTTCAATGCAACTAATCTCGGTATCAATGTACCGAGGCACGACGAGTTACCAAATGAGCTACGTGGGCCGCCTTTAGAACAAACTGAAAAATACTTAATTTTATCTTGACATTTATGATACAATATACTTCATATTTTTATTTATTAACGTTGAATTATAATTATAATGATTTCTCTTGAAAAAAAAACATTAATGTTAGGTTACCCATACGATATAGGCTACACCGAAATTATAAAGAGGATAATTATTTGTTTTATTTTTAGTCTGTAAAACTTACATTGTCTTTATAGATTATTGCTCGGTCTCTCAATCCTATGATATTGAGAACCGTAGGACTAAAAATATCTTTTTGATCGTGTGAAAGATTAGTTTCATACATTACAAATCCCGTATTAACATCCATAAATTCAAAAGTCAATGGTGAATCACTTATTACAGGTTTTATGCGTTGAGTAGCTTCATCGAATAAACTAGCCAACGGATTAAGTACAAAATCTCCATATCGAGCTTTTGGCTCCCAAAAAGGCAATATTTCATTTTGAATTAAAAATTTCTAAGTAAAAATTATTTAAACACATTTATAAATTCTGCATCTAAAGAATGAAAATAATAATATATTATGAAATTGATATTGAATCTTACCGATTCAAAAAGAGTTTTCTGAATCATAAAGTATTTTTCCGTTAGATCACCAGCTTCAGTTATAGGAGCATCGTAATCGTAAGATGTCAATTGAGGTTCATATCCTGCGTCAGGTGTATTGAGGTTCATATTGGCGCCAGAAGTGAATCCAAAATTTGTACCTCCGTGAAACATGTAATAATTAAATGAAGCATTTAAAGAAAGCATTTGCTTCATAACTCTGACAACATCATTTGAAAACACCAAGGGGTTGGGTTCTTGCCAATGAGACAACCAACCTGGATAAAATTCAGAGTTGACCAATGGACCAGAAGGATGAATCTCTCTCATGTATTTGAAACAATCTTGCGCTATAAATAATTTAACACATTTTAAATTGACTTAATTATTAATCTAAACTATTTTGTATATTAAGTACTAACAATCATCTACTGAAGCACCAAAATCAACTGTTGCATAAACTTCTGGAATACTTCCACATTTCATATAGGAAGTTCCACAACCATCAGTGGTAAAGAGTAAAGCCTTATCCTGAACATAAGATCGGAATAAATCTCTGAGCCATAGAGTGTAGTTTTTATCACATGCAAAACTTCCGTATTCATTTTCAACCTAACAAAAATAAAATAATTTGCTACCAAAAATCTAATAAAAAACCATTATGGTTATTTTACACACCTGAACCATAATGATATGACCTCCATTTCCATATAAATAAGGTTTCATTTTATCCATTAGCACATCAAACCATTTTTTAACATATTCCTTATACGCTAATTTATGAAAAAATATTAAATAAATTAAAAGAACTTATAAGTAAAGTGTATAATTAAATATTTATGAAATTAACATTTAATTATGAATAAATGACTTCTTAATTTTTATCAACACTCGTTATCTTGTTTTTTTTTTTCAAATAAAAATTTCAATTTAAATCATTTTTTTATAAGGTTGGGTTGGGTATAAATGCCATTTATTCTAAATAAAACACTACAATATATAAGATGTTGTTCCCATTGTTCATAATAATGGCCTGTTTCCTTACTTTTTTATCATCCTGTTTAACGTAGTGCTAATCTTTTTATTACAATTTGTTCAATAAAAATTAAGTCAAGTCAAAAATTAAAATATTTCTCGAATATATTAACACGTAACATTAACAATAATATAATTTTATACATACTAGGATCATTTGTTCTTAAGCTTTTTTGTTGTGTTTTATTCAGAAGCCAATATGGAAATCCACCCTTTCATAATATTAAATTTAATTATACTATTAATTTTTTTAGTTATTAAATGCATTAATAACTTACAAAATCTCTTTCAGCACAAATATAAGGCCCAGGTCTAAGCAGTATATACATTCCAGCATCTTTAATCAACTCTAAAAAGTATTCTATATCAGCTATTCCCTCAAAATCGTATATTCCTGGGAATGGTTCGTGCAAACTCCACTCAACATAACTGGAATGGTATTTAGAAAACTCTAATTTAATATTTCTTATTCTAAATTTTTAAATATTGACCAATGATATTTTATAAAGTGAGTAAAGTAAATTTTAAACTTAAAAGATTTTAGGTTTTTAAGCCCAGTCGTAAAATTTAAACTAGGTTTTAAATTAGTTTAGAACTCTCTCAAAAACAATACTAGTTCACTTTTATAAACAAGATTAAATAGATAAACCGGCATACATTGATATGTTATACACCTATATGTTCGATAGATTGTAACAATATTATTATTAAAATGTGAAATACCAATATTGTTTGCTACATTTTATGTAAAATAAATTTGTTTTTGTTCTGAAAATTGTAAGATAAACTTAACTAATGTTACGGTCAAGGTCGGATTTACCCAAAAAGCGCCCCTAGGCCAATAAGGAACAAACGCCCACTTCTTAGAACACAGATAGAATGGGAGCTGAGTTGATAACCCCCTCCCAATTTACTTAAAAATTTGTATTTCCTAATGTATAATGTATAGTTACTTTAAAAGTATTTAAAAGTCAACGTAAAAAAATTATGTATTGAAATTTTGTAGTTTAAATTATGATGATAAAAAAATCAATCGTACATAAATTATAATTAATGAATAATAATAAAAAATAATAATTATATTTTTATTCTGTTAATAAACGGTTGATTTAGTAAATGCAATTTTCAACTTATTAATGTAAACAACAAAAATTTGCATCGTTATAAAAAATAAGAAACATTAATTAATAATACGTTTGGCGTTTTCTTGATTTGGTTGCTCGACACAATTTAAACGACCGCCGTCGCCGATTATTATTTTAGATAATGTATATCGTCGTGCCGTAGCTACCCTGCCTAATCACATTATATATATATATATATTGTAGAATATATTCCGTGCTATTTTTATAATTTTACAACAGCGAGTAACTAATTTACCAAAATAACTACATTAATTCTAGTAGATGGAAAATTAAATTCGCAGAAAGGAATTATATCTAAAAAAAAAATCAAGAGTTTTGCCGGCCGCAGCGCCCCTAGGCTATAGCCTAGTCCTAAATCCAGCACTGGTTATGGTATTCAAGGACAAATTCGGCAATGTGAATCCATGGACCTTGTTAACAAAATTTAAAAAGAATTAAAGTATATTTTTTAATTGTGATTTTAATGAAGATATTTTTTGTACGAATTATGTATTAATTTCAAGTCCTTAGTTATTTAATTTTAAAGTAGTTAAGTAAAAATGAAGAACTTACGTAGATATGGCATTCAAACCAGATGCTTTCATTTTAATAATTCTGTCTTTCCAATATTGTTTAGGAATTCGAAAATAATGTAATGATCCAGAAACATACCGAAATACTTGACCATCTTTAAGAAATTCGTTATTATCGTAGTCAACAACAAATGTTCGATTAATAGACTAATGATAAGAAATTATTCAATTATTAATTGATCAATTAAAATAGTAGATTACTTTTAAATGAAAGAAATGTTTCAATTTAGAGATGTTCATAGTTGTCATTTAAATGTACTAAGTGGGTCTAAATCTTTTAATGATCGAGTCAATTACACATATAGTGGGAAAGTTCAAAAATTATTATTTGTCATTTGTTCCTATTATGAGATTTAGAAACCTTTCTAAATCACTCAGCTAGAATAAAAAAATATGATAAGTAAAAAAAAATTAAACAAAAATAAAAAGTAGTAGTTTTTAAGTTGGAGGGTCACCCCTTTTCATACTTTTTTAAAGACTACAAAGATTAAGTTACACTACTAAATTGATATATTTTTTTTTATATAAATTTGTTTTACACATGTATTTATGCATTTTGTTACGAATATTAAAAATTAAAAGTTTAAAGTAAAATTATAAAAAATATTATTGTCTATTGAGTGATAGGAGGGGTACCAAAAAGCTAAATACTCTACTGATAATACAGGATTATAGTTAAATTATGACTTACATATTATCTAACTAAAAACTGACCAATCGATTACAATGTTTAAACCCTTATTTTACAAGTAATTAACACTTTATATAATGGCAGGAGGTAAATTGCGGGAGTTTATTTTTATCTCTAGGCATTTATGAACCAAATTATTCCTCCTGCCTTATTATAAAAATACTAATATCTTTTAAATTGATAGTACTAAAGTTGTTATCGATTAGTCATTTTTTATTAAATCATCTTATTTGTAACTTGGTTAAACATTTTTCTATTTTAAAAGAAAAAAATTCAGACAAATTTAAAGGGAAAGAAAGGGGTAAGGAAAAAAGTTTTTTTTTCTATAAATTGTAGAAAATAGGATACTATTAACTTCTGAAAAAAAATTAGTAATACATATATTGTCAGACCAATACAGCAAAGTTAAAAGAATTATTATAAATATTTTACTTATTATTATTAATTAAAATACTTTAATTACCGTTTGCAAAATATCCGCCAAAGCACAAAACGCCAAAGTGAAAAATAAATGAAGTCTGGGTAAATTCATCTTATGTTTTCAAAGTAAATTATAACTTATCACTTAAAAGTATATATTATTATTATTAAACAGAGTTATAAATATTAACTAAAATTATATAACCACACAATTGTTTACACTTTTTTATTTGATTATGTATAACAGTTAATAAAAATTTCAAATGAAATTCCTTATAATTACAAAATTTTTATTTAACAATATTTGTTAATTTAATAATATATTTATTTGTTCAGATAAATTATATTTATGATAAGTCCCTTATTTAAATATAATAAACTAAAAATACAAATGTTTTATATTCTAAAAGTATGCAAATGCAGTAATCAAGACCGTACTAGACCTCTTTCGTAACTGCTAATAGGATCAAATGGTAATAAAATTACCAGATAAACTAATAAACTTAGAGGCAAACTCTCAGTTTTACCAACTGGTTTTAAATTTTAAAATATCAGGTTTTAATTTAAATTATTTACTGTTGTGAAAATATTATATTTGTCAAGCACTTTGTTCTATCAATGTTTTACTAATTAATTTGTTCTAATTACGATTTTTTTAATAATTTCTATGAAAATAATATTTTTTCTATTTCACATTGTACACTATACAATAATAATATAAACTTAATATTATAGTTGCTGTAATAGTGTAGTTTATTATCTAAATTGTATTACTGTCAATAATAGTCAGTGATACCTTTTGCATATAACTAAAAAATAGTGTCTTTTTCAAGACTTAGTTTTTTAAGTGTTAAAAAATATTAAAATATGCACATAGAAATGAGCTAAAAAATAGCAAAATATGCCATAAAATCTACACAAAAAAATTATAAAATATGTAAAATTATGCTTGATTTAATTAAATAACTTTACAGAAAATATTGTGCACGTGTGGTCTCAATATAACCAACTAGTCTGATGAAGTGAATCAAACAATAAATTATAGCTCGAAAAAAATGATTCTAATGCAATATAGATGATTATTCAGTAAACTGTTTTTAAAATTAAAATTATCATATAATTATTTATTTGTTTGTTTGTAAAACGAGACTAATCCAATATAATAATGAATATCTTAATAAATAACTAGCACATAAGTATAATATAACAGTAAAAAAGAAACAAAATAAATAAAATCAAATAAAACAACAATCACGCATATTTGTCGTGTTATCTTATAAATATAAAAAAGTTATATAAAAATTTTAATTTTTATAAATATTAACTAGATATAATAATTGTAAATACTTCATATAAGGATTAAAACGTGTAATTATAAGATGGTATTATTATTTTTTAAATGTATTAATCGTAAAAATTGCGTTTGTACCTTTCTTTTCTGAAGCGATGAAATATTGTGTTTAAAAATTTAGATGTTGATAGTGATATAGGTTAAAACCTAATTCATATACATATAATAGATGTAAAACTATAGTGAAATATAATATAATCAATATACAAATAAAATAATCATGCTGTCATTTTGTTACAAAGAAGTTAAAAAACGGAATCGAGTAATAATATTTTATACTTAAAATTATTTTTTAAAAAATGATTTTTATTAAACTGATTGTTTAATAATTTTTTAAAAATATGCGAAATAAAATTTTATCTATGGAATAAGAATATTGTTAAATGAATTTGTGTCAAACAAAAAATTATGAATATGTGCTTTCCTAAAAAATTTACACTTGCCTCAAGTTCTATGCTATGATCATTACTAAAATAAATATAAGTTTTTGTTACTGAAGTGAATAGGCTTTATTTAAATAATGAGATAATAGGTATGCTGTTGATTAGTTAAATAAAACCTATTGTAATTATGGTAATTATTAGCATAAAACAATGTCACTAATAGTAGGTGGGACCATCATCGTATCATTTGGGTTTACACAGTATGAATGTCAAGAAAAAATATAGTGAAAAAAAAATCGTTTTAAAGTACATACTGTAGTTGAATGTTGTTTTATATAAAAAAAAACCCTGCGCAAGGGGGTCGCCGCACAGTGGTGACGTGGCATAGTTGGGTCAACTATAATGATATCTGACAGTGATTAAAATCACTATCATAGAAAAATGATTCGATGCAAATAGTGTTTAATTTTAAAAAATTGGTGGATTATTCCAAAAGCAACATGATCTCCTATTTCCTTATTTATTTCTTGATTACAAGTTTTATGATTTATAATAATTTATAATTTATAAGTTTTATGATATAAGTGTGAAATTGATATTTCCAAAACTTTTTTTTTTAATATTAAAGTATATTACGTAAGCTTTAATTTAATATATATATAAAAGTGTCAGTATTTCCGGAAAAATTAAGTTGAAAAAGTTCTACTTTAAATATGCATTTTTAAAGATTTGAACCCCCCCTGTATAAAGGAAAATGGTCCGATTTAAAAAAAAAATATGTCGAATGAAAGAGGTATATAAATATTATAAATTGTAGTGATCCGTACATTTTGCAAATAGTTGTAGCATTTTAAAGTTAAAATTTAAAAATATAAAATCGAGAATTTTAACACAAAAATAGCATATGGCAGCCATTTTCACCACGAAAACAAAATAAAGTCCGACATTTTTTTTAGCTTCGATGCAAAGCTAAGAAGGTATTAATTTAACTATGATGTCTTTTTTTTTTTTTTTTTTTTTCAGCTCTCACCGNTACTTTAATTTGAAAAAAAAAAATTTGACCTCTGGATTTGTCTTCATGGTAAAAATGACTACCGTATTCAAAAATATGCTATTATTGTGTGTTAAAATTCTGGGTTTTGTATTTTATTTTATTTTAAAATACCTGACAAGGGGAGTGCACAGATTTTCATAAATATTATATAAATAAAATTAATATAGCATAGAAAGTTAAACTTATTTAATTTTTTATGCTTTTTTGAAGTCAAGAAAAATAACTTTGAAATTTGAACTAGCTTAAATAGCCAATTTTTTTTTAGTCGTCGGATGCGACGTACGGTTGTTGAGTCAGTAACACTTGTGTTTTACGCGCTTGGGGTACAAGGTTCCAACCGGCGTAGAGCAAGGAATTTTTTGCATTTTTTCTTAATTCTTTTTAAGTTGGGATAAATTTTTAACTCCTTTGATTTTTATCTCATTTAGATTCAATAACTTCAATAAAGATCAAGGATCTTGGAAAATCAAGGAAAATGGCTACCGAATGCTATTTTCGTGTGAAAATTCTCNATTTTTGTGTGAAAATTCTCGATTTTATAATTTACATTTTTTACTTTAAAGTGCTATAACTTTTTAAAAAATGTATGGATCAATACAATTTTTTCATGAGAAGTAGTATTTATATACATCTTTCATTGGACATACTTTTTTTTTAAATCAGACTATTTCCCTATATACGGGGTGGCTTCAAATATAAAAAATGCATATAGAAAGAAGAACTTTTTCAACTTAACTTCTGAAAGTGTTCCGGAAGGTCTGACACTTTTATATATATCTTAAATTAAAGCTAATGTAATGTACTTTAA